AAAAAATTTACACAGGGGTGTAATCGATGTGCCAGGTTTCATTGGAAATCTCGATTAGACCGTAAAGTTGTATTTTCCCTTTGTTTCATTTGGGGGACATTTGCGGGACTTAACTCTAACTTTCCCCCCCAAAAAAGTGACGAACCAACGCCCCAAAATCTTATCTCATTTTCCTTACTTACTTTTTCGATTGGCTAATTTTGATTGGAGGATCAAGAAATCCAAGCCAGACTTCTCTTAGAGTTTTTACGGTATCTTTCAAGGGTTCCAGTTTCTAGAGAAATGTTTCAAATGACAAACCTTGGAGAGAAAGTGCGAAGATGATCGTCAGAATAAACATCGCTTGCCCTTACTCTAACTTTTCCCCAAAAAAGTGATGAACCAACGCCCCAAAAGCTTATCTCATTTTCCTCCATTTTCCTCCATTTTCCTCCATTTTCATTCATTTTTACCCATTTCATCTCTCCGAATGCTTTTTCCGATTTTTTACACGAATTTTATGGTTTTTAAAGAGCCCTTTTGTGCTTTTTTTGGCTTTTTTGCCTTGCGGTTCGTGAAGTAACTGGGAAAATGGAAAAGTTTATCGAAAGGTAAGAAAAATGGGGAAGGATTTTTTGCTGTGAATATGATGAATCTATTCCGCTTTCCAGTAGTACACTTTCGTGCATCCTTCTTTCGCCTCCAACATACGAGCCTTCGCCGGGCTCTCGGCCGCTCCGTCGAGATACTCTTCAGCCTAGAAAAATATGAATTTACAAAATACTCAATGCTAAATTGCTTTTAAACAATTTAAGACAATCAAAGAATATCAGAATTCAAAGAAAATCACCTTGGCTCCAATTTGTTCATTAGCAGCTCCGGTTTCGCGAAGTTTCTTCAACTCGGCGACTTTCTCCTCACCAATTGCATCTTAATTTGACTGTTTGACTTAAGGAATAAGCTTTTCTTAAAAGCTTAAAGGCTTTCTTAAAAGTTTAAACCCTTTTTTAAAAGCTTAAGACCTTTTTTAAAAGCTTAAAGGCTTTCTTAAAAGCTTAAAACCTTTTTTTAAAAGCTTAAAGCCTTTTTTAAAAGCTTAAAGGCTTTCTTAAAAGTTTAAACCCTTTTTTAAAAGCTTAAAACCTTTTTTAAAAGTTTATCGATTTAAAGCGATCAAGTGCTTACCAGCCATCAAGTGCCTGCAAGCATTTTTCATTTTCTCGACAGCAATTGGTTTCACGTCGACGGGCGCCTCTTTGAAGAACTCCCCAAGCTATGAATTTAAATAAATTTTTCAAAAACTCATTATAAAACCTTTTTGTACAGAGCCGCTTTATCATTTTCCAATCCACGAATCACATTTTTCTGCTCATCAGACAACCAATCGAAAGTCTCCTTTAGACTGTTCTCTAAATTGTGATCCTCGTGGCGACGAGCTCTAAATCAAACTCAAATCAAGACTCAAATCAAAACTCAAATCAAATATAAGCTGGCTGCTTTAAAATGTATCGTTAATGCAAATTTGATTGTCTTTACCGGTCAACCAAATCTAGTAAATATTAGAAATGAGGAAATTCCAACCCAAACCTAATTCCGCCTTCGTTTTTTTGGCCGTCTCTTGGCCGATTGCTCTGAAATTTTTTTCTACAGATAGAAATCGACTTTTTAAACTTCTAGACAAATTTTCGGAACAATCAGCCAAGAAACGGCCGAGAAAACGAAGGTGGAATTAGGTTCGGGCTGGAATTTCTCCATTTCTATTAGGTTGCTCGGATATAAACAATCGTTGCTAAACTTATTGTTATGAGAAAAGCTTTTAAAACATGTCTTTCTGTATTTAAAAGTACGTTATCTTGCGCATATTTGGAATCTTTTTAAACGTATAATTTCTTATTTTTAAGAGCTTTTTTCTTGCTTTAGATGACCGACTTGAAACATCAAGTTCGCGTCTGTCTACTTTACGATTTCAAACTGGGCAAAACAGTCGCGGAATCTCATCGAGATTTGGTCAAAGCATTTGGGAATGATGTATTGTCCGAAAACCGATGCCGAGCCTGGTTCCAACGCTTTCGGAATGGTGATGAAAGTCTCGAGGATGATGAACACTCTCGTCGACCTCAAGCGGTAGACTACGATATTTTGGGGGCTGCAATCGAACCGGATCCATGTCAAACGACGCGTGAACTTGCTCAACAATTTCGATGTTCAAATTCTACCATTGATGAGCATCTCCACGCCATTGGAAAGACGATCAGATGCGGGAAATGGCTTCCTCACAAGTTAAGCAGTGCAAACAAGGCTTCACGGGTCGCTATTCCCGGAATCCTCATCCGCCACGCTAAAGATCATGGCTTTTTTGATTCTATCGTTACTGAAGATGAGAAGTGGATCTATTTCGATAATACTATTCGAAAACGGAAATGGCTAGGACCAGGAGAACGGCCAAATCCGACCGGGAAACCGGACATTCATGGAAAAAAGGTCATGCTCTCAGTATGGTGGAATAACAAGGGCCTTGTTTGTTTCGAGCTTCTACAACCCGGCCAAACAGTCATGTCCGACCTCTACCAAGTTGATCGGGTCAATGAAGTTCTCATTCGTTACGGAGTAGACACATCAAAGAAAAAGCTCATCCATAACAACGCTAGACCTCACGTTGCAAGAATGGCTCAGCAAAAACTAGAGAATCTAGGATGGGAGGTTTTACCACATCCGCCGTATGCTCCCGATTTGGCTCCCTCAGATTATCTTTGATTCCGGTCGATTCAAAACTCTTTGGTCAATGAGAAATTCAAAAACCGTGAAGATGTCCAAAACGCGAAGTTTTTCGAGTCACAACCGGCTGAGTTTTTCAAGAGCGGCATCAATTCTTTGCGCAAAAGATGGCAAGAAGTAATCAATAATAATGGTGAATATATTTTAGATTAAACTGTGTTGTTTCTGTTTTTAAGATAAATTTTGTCGACTACTAAAACGCTCGTTTATATCCGAACAACCTAATAGTAAAGTACAAGCTATAAAAAACTATGAGTATTGAAAAAAAATGCCTGCGAGAGTGGTGAAGGGTTCTTCTGAATCTGAAAATGATTGAGTTGTGTGTGTGCGTGTTTTTCTCCTCCTTTTTCTTACTTATGATGTCCATGATGTGATCCATGTGCCGAATGTCCGGAATGATCGTGATCTCCATACCAGATCTTCTCGCAGAACGGTAGGTTCCTAAAAAAAAGTCTAGAATATAGTCAAAATTCGAAATCAACTTCAAAACTCCATCTTGTTCGCTCTCTGGAAGACGTTTAATGTATTCGCGGACCTGAAAATTCGGCATATCAGCAAATCGGTAAATCAGCAATTCGGCAAATCGGCTTTTTTTAAACCATTTTTCAATCATTTTTTTTCTAAAAGCTGGTTAATGCTAAAAATATGTTTTATATCTCAAAAAAACACCCATTTTCTATACTTTAATTTGATACCCAAACGCGTGGAAACAAACGTACTGGTGCCAAGATTTGAGCGTTTGTTTCAGAGTAAACTTAGACTTTGAGAGTAAACTTAGACTTAGACGGGGGTAAAAGCGAGAAATCGGGTGGTGAGGAGTATTATTTATCGGATGGATTCGATGATTTGAATGGGAACTCGACGGAGATCACGGAGACTGAGGCAAACACAATGTCACAGGTAAAATTGGATAGCTAATTGCCACAGGTAATTGAATTGTGGCCCTGTTTGCTTGTTAGTTCAGGGCAGAATTATGGAAACTCAAGCTATTGAGCCCTCGTTACTGAGCCTAACTCAGTCCTCGATGTCTCGAATCAAATAATTCTTTTTTGCTGGTATATTCTGAGTTACTTGCTCTAGAAAAAACATTGTTAGACAAAGGTAACTGTTTTCTAAAAGTTCTGATAGTTATTCAAAGTGCGTTACTCGCTCCTATAAAGGAGTCGTTCTATTAGAGTTTTAACGGTACTACACCGTATTCCTATTGTAGCTAATTTTCTTATATTCGAATGTCAACTGTCAACTTTATCATTCATTCCCCTCACATTCGTCTTGCATTGTGCATGATCTGTCTCGTGCAATTTGTGAAGAGCGTCGATCTCGGCTTTCGACGCGACTTTGCTCAGCCAAGCATAGCAATCACTGAACAATTCGATTTTTAAAAGCTCACTTTTCTACCTACTCAGTCAATTTCTTCTGCGTTTTTTTTCTTGCTTCTCCATCGAGATTTTGGAAGAAAGTGAGTACTTTCTCCTTGATCTCTGTGTTCGATTTCCCAGCAGCTTTCAAATCTAAAACGTATCGGTAAATGTATCGATCAAAGCGCATTTGAAAATCATGATCAAAGTGATCAAATCATTCGATACACGCCACGATAACAGTTATCGGACAAGCCCCGCCCTTTTCCCATTGGCAGTCTAGCTTTGAGCTGAAATTTCTTGGTGTTCGGCTGTTCAATTTCAATGTTCTTGGTATCATTAGATGCGCCAAGTCTTTCTCTGTTGATTGGTACAAAAACTATTTAAATTGGGCAGTCCAACACCAAGAAATTCGAGCTGAAAGCTGGATCGCCAATGAAAAAGGGGCGGGGCACGTATAAAAGGTCCCAAAATCCTTTTGAATAGGTAGTCAAGCTCTAAATGTATATAACTTGCTAACGAGACAATATATTCGTTTGCTTTTGATATATTTCAAAAGAATACATTTTGCGCTTTCAAATGAGACCTAATAGAGCCGAATGGAATAGATGAGTCTCGAGAAATCAAAGTAGAAGTGAGCAAAACAACAACGACTTGTAATCAATCGATTTTCGATATCGATATGGTGACTCGGTGAGGAAAAAGCAATGCATTAAGTGTCTCAGAAATGGTGGTGTTCGGCTGTTCAATTTCAAAATTCTTGGTATCATTAGATGCGCCAAGTCTTTCTTTGTCGATTAGAACAAAAGCTATTTCAATTGAACAGCCCAATACCAAGAAATTTGAGCTGAAAATTAGATTGCTAATGGCAAAGGGGCGGGGCACGTATAAAAGGTCCGTCGCCCCGCCCCTTTTCCCATTGGCAATCTAACTTTGAGCTCAAATTTCTTGGTGTTGAGCTGTTCAATTTATAAATTATTGATATCATTGGATGCGCCAAGTCTTTCTCTATCGATTGGTACAAAAACTATTTACTTGAGCTGAAAGTTAGAGTGCTAATGGGAAAAGGGACGGGGCAACGGACCTTTTATGGTCCTTGCCCCGCCCTTTTCCCATTGGCAATCTTAACTTTGAGCTCGAACGGGTATTCAAGGAACCAATTTAAATAGTTTTTGTACCAATCGATAGAGAAAGACTTGGCGCATCCAATGATATCAATAATTTATAAATTGAATAGACCAACACCAAGATACTTGAGCTGAAAGTTAGAGTGCTAATGGGAAAAGGGATGGTGGCCACAAACTCTTCAAAGTAGCACCTCTGATCTCTTGTTTCTGCGCATCGGTCAACCAAGAGAGATGTTTATCGATGAGTGTATTGATGTCTTTTCTTTTTCGTTTCATTGTCGTCGTTTTTCCGAACCATAACTCTTTGCATTCACCCTGTTATGATGATTGAAGTTTAAAAATTAAAATGACTTTCATTTACCGCCCAAACATCAACCATTTTTCTCTCCTCAGCATCGAGTCTCGTCTTGTAGTCGGTTAGTCTAAAAATTTTGACGTATAAAAGATTTTTTTAAACTCTACAGAGTTTTCCTTAAAGCCATTTCAAGCCTGCGCCTTGTCAAGTCTGGTTAAAGTTAGTTGTTAATAGGGAAACATCTGTCGATCCTTTTTTGCCGGCAATTTAAAGTTTTTCGTATTTTTCTCACTAGGGAACTGCTTCAATTTAGCATCGAGTTAAGCTACGAAACCTAATGCATCGGATTCGACGCAAAATTCTGAACAAAACACAGTTTTAAAAGCAATCCAATGAGCCAATCAAGCTTTGAAAAACTCGTTTGAAAATTGGGAGCTTGGTGATATAACCCTTCCCTTCGTCGGGCTTAGAAGTTGACCTGGTGGCCTAGTGGATAGTCTAGTGGTCTTCGGAACCTATGCCCGTGGGTTCGGAGCCTTTCGTGACCCGCGTCTTTTTGCAAACAAGATTAGAATGTTTTTTCAATAATTTAAGGGTTTTAGGGATCGGACCCAGATCCCTATTGAGAAAACTTTGACTTTAGCTCTAGTAGATCTTGAAATTTATAACCCTGATCTCGAACAAACACTTTAACATGTTAAAGTGTTTTAGCTCAGGCTCAGGCTTAGGCTTAGGCTTGGACTTAGTGCGAAGGCTGGCTGCTAGCGCCTCGCACTAAGTTTATTTGGGTTTGGGTTGAACCCCCATTTTCTGGATTAGGCTTAGGCTTAGGCTCAGGTTCGTTGATGTTAATTTTAATGTTGAACAAAAGTTACTTTGCCAAAACTTCTTTGTTATTCCCGGCCTCATGAAGGGATTTGAGCTCAGCCATTTCTTCTTGAGTGGCCACCTGAAAGCAATGTCAAAGCCTTTTTATGTCTTTCTACTCACCTTTTTCACCCAATTTGCACATTCCTGTTTGTAATGTGCATCTAATTCCTTTCTTTTCTCTTCCGGAAGCGCACTGTACATTTCCATGATCTTTTTCTTCATTTCATCAAGAGAGCCGCTTTTCTTCAGCTGAATTTGTTCTTTCTTTTTCGAGACTAGCTGAATTGTTTTGAGATTACTTCAGCCAAATCTGCTTTTTGCTCTTCGGTCATCCAGTTGTCCATTTTGTGTTCTCGTCGTCCCCTAAAAAGATTTCAAGTCCACCACGACCTTTTGTTGCTTTTTTTAAAAAAACTGAACCCTTTCTTATGATTAAAATTCGGCAAAAATGCTCAGAAATTCACGGGTCCTCACTTTTACTTGGTAAGGCAATGATTAGGTCATCATAGCAATCACTGGTCGGGGTCGAACCCTCGACCTTTCGAGCAAGAGACAAACGATTTCGCAATACACCACAAAGCATGAGTGGCTAGGAGAGAAAAATCTCTAATTCATACCTCCGCAAAGAGGTTCCATAAACTGTGAAAAGGAAAAGACCAAGTAGTAGAAGTAGCTTCATTTCTAAAAGATTTCTAAACGATTTCTAAATATAAAAGATCAGTTTGAAAAGGTCGAAAAGCATAAACACAATAGATTCATAGGTATTTTTTAATTTAAAATTGAAGCTTGTTTAAAAGCTTGATTGAAGCTAAAAAGCTTGTTTAAAGCTGATTTTACGTGTCATTTTTTAGGTCTCATCTAAAAGTAAAGCTCTTTGTCTTTAAAAACTAAATGTTGAAAGAAAGGACAATATTTTATGGAAAATGGAATGAAAACGGTCAAAGTCACCGATAATCTTATCTACGAATTTTGCCCTCCAGCCGTCCAGCGTTTGTTTGTGCGATTTCATCGATTCGCTCCCCAATTTCTCAAATCAGAAAATAACAACATTTGATAGTTTACAAAATGAGATGTCTTTTCATTTTTTTTAGTCAAAACTTTATTCAAAAATCCATCCGTTCAAACTGCGAACCGATCGCTTCATTTGTCGTCGGCAGTAGTAAGCATCATCCTATAAATCAAAGGAGATTTGTAAATATAACTGAATTCTTGAAAGGACTTAACACATTCACGAAGATACGGCCACCAGTGGGTTGTATAAATCCAATGTATAGATATAAAAGAGCAGTGTCTGTCTATCTGTCTGTCTGTTTGTCTATCTAACTGTCTGTCTGTCTGTCTGTCTGTCTGTCTAACTGTCTGCCTGTCTGTTTGTCTGTTTATCTATCTGTCTGTCTGTCGGTCTATCTGTCTGTCTGTTTGTCTATCTGTTTGTCTATCTGTCTGTCTGTCTATTGTCTGTACAGCCATTTTCTCAGCCATGTTTTGACTAATCAAGCTAAAGCTTCTTTAGAAAACTAGAATATCTTGTAGTTGTGTCATTTAAAAACAAATTTTAAAAAACCAAAGTTGGATCGAGGCGGGGAGTCGAACCCGGACCTTCTGGGCTGTAGACAAACGCCCTCCCGACTGCTCCCGACCATCGTCGCAAGTGTTTTAAAACTAACCGGTGAATAGAGAGCACAAACGTTGTTCTTGGGGCAATCGCTTCCTTGTTGGGATGGATCGCATTTCTGAAAATTGCTTGGATACCCAGTTTTACCCTTTTGAACAAAAACGAGCTAATAAACTCAGTACAATTCGATTTTTCGTTCCAAATTCTAACCTTAACTTTTAACGTTATCAAAGCTTGCATTATGTCAATGTAATTTGTTCATTCGTGCCGTGTAATCAAACGTTACAACAGTGAAATTTCGGTTTGTACCATAAAGTTGAATAGATATTTCTTTTCTTTACAAAACAATTTTTCTATTTTTACTTCTATATGCTATGGGGGGTTGTCCCTAAATTCTTGCGTTGGATTCAAAGGTGTGGGAGTGAATTAAGCCGCTTCTTCTTCACTCCCGCACCTTCGAATCCAATGGAAATACAGTAAGGCTCGGAAATCTTGCTCAAACTTGCATAAAAGTTGTTCAGAATTGTTTAAAAATGCTTTTAATGGCTTTCGCGTAATTGATTACTCTAGGAAAAGTTTTTAAAACTAGTGAAGGGTTTGAAAAAGTGTTTACAAACCGCCCCACCCCTGAACTATTGGGTTGGTGAATTGAAAACTGCGGGCTCTTGTCATATGTGACAGTTTGAGCACTTTCTTCAAAAGAAACCCATTTTGGTGTCAATGGAAAAGTTGTAGAGAATCAAAAATCAAGCTTATATCCAAATTTTCAGAACGATTCAAAAACTGGTTTTCAAGGAATGCCAAATTTACGAAACTTTCACAAAACTTGCCTTTTAAGCGAGATTACTAAGTGTATCTTCTTGGAAATTTGGCTATAAGCCTAATTTTTGATTCTCTACAACTTTTCTATTGACACCAAAATGGGTTTCTTTTGAAGAAAGTGCTCAAATGCTCAAACTGGGACATCTCCAGTCCTCGATTTTTGAGTCTCACACTTGTCTCACACACAAACCAAAATCCTACTACGAAAGAGGAATCCGTAAATTGCCTGTAAAATGGGCAGAAGTCGTCAATAATAATGGAAATTAGTTCGAATGAATCGATGGTTTTATGTTGAATAAATTTTAGTTCAAAGTCCCGCAGTTTTCAATTCACCAACCCAATACTGTAGCACCGAACTGGTTTCAATCAGTGTTTCAATCTCAATGATATTCAATATTCAATCAGTGGTTTAATATCAAATATCAAATAATATCAACTAATAACAACTAATATCAACTATTTCAATCAGAAATATCACCTTTTTGAGTGTACAAAATGTACCACCATTGCATTGACAGATTGCTCTGGGATCTTTGCACGCTTCACCCGTCATTTGTACACAATCCGCATCACTATTGCAATAGTTTGCCTTAAACGAATAGCACAGTAATGCCAAAAATGCTTTTTAATGTTTGTTTTTGGATAGTCAAAAAAAAGGCCGTTTCTAGATGAAATCAAAAATAAGACTAAACAGGTGATTTGTTTTTGAGCAAATATTGCTTAAAAGCTTACCATAATCACGGGAAAAAGTGAAATTAAAAAGAATAGAATGAAATATTTCATTTTCCTTTAATTTTGAAGAGAATAGAAGGAATATATTGGGAAATTTGTAAAGAAAATAGCCTCAAATGATCAACAAAACGATTTGTTTAAGCAAAAAGAGTCGTTGTTTTTGTTGTGTTTACTTTTCAGCAACAAAAACTTCTCTTTTATATCAAATTTTGCTTTATTTACATTTTGATTAAAAAAATAAATAACATTTGATCTTTTAAACAATAATATTTTCAATATTTTTAATCCCTTATTGTTGTTTTTCCCTTATTATTGTTTTCTTGATCAACAAGCTTTTATGGTCAAAAGAAAAATAGAAAAATAGATAAAAGATGCCAAGACAAAAACTTTTAAATGATCAGATCTTTAAATATATTTAAAGATTATTCTTTTATTATATTAGGTTGTTCGGATATATACGAGCCGAAAAGGGGTTAGGCTTAGACTTAGGCTTAGGCTCAGGCTTGGACTTAGTGCGAAGGCTAGCGGCTAGTGCCTCGCACTAAGTCTATTTGGGTTTGGGCTGAACCCTCATTTTTTGGATCTCAGCCAGTTCCCGGATTAGGCTTAGGCTTAACTCGTGAGGAAGCCATTTCCCGTACCTCATCGCTTTTCCAATGGCGTGGAGATGCTCATCAATGGTAGAATTTGAAGATAGAAACTGTTGAGCAAGTTCAAGCGTCGTTTGACATGGATCCGATTCGATTGCAGCCCTCAAAACATCGTTGCCTACCGCTTGAGGTCGGTGTTCATGATCTTCGAGACTTTCATCACCATTCCGAAAGCGTTGGAACCAGGCTCGGCATCGGCTTTCGAACAATACCTGATTCCCAAATGCTTTGACCAAATTCCTGATCAACAAGCTTTTATGGTCAAAAAAATAGATAAACGATATGAAGAAAAAGCTTTTAAATGATCAGATCTTTAAATATATTTAAAGATTATTCTTTTATTATATATAAAAATGATTTTTAAATGTATTCTTTTTATTATTTTTTATGACATTGTAATCTTTTATATAAAATTGAGAATTTTGAGAGAAATAAAAACAGGATTATAGGACGGGCCCGTATTATCGGAAAACGACGAAAATTAAAGAGATCCTTGAGCTTTTTGAGATCAAAAATGAGAAAAATGGGTATTGTATTGGGTTTTTATTGTTTCACTCGAGTCTCGTTGAGTCGAGTGACCGAATTTCGGGAGACGTGATGTCGACGGAACTCATCCATGTAACCGTTTTTCATTGCGTCCACCTGGAAACATCTCTTGTTATTTATTCATTTTTTATGATATTCTTGTAATCTTTTATATAAAATTGAGAATTTATCTCTACTCTTGATCCTGAACATTTCAAGAATCTTTCCCTTGATCATATCAAAGAAACTTTACCCTTTCATAACTAACTTTAAATTCTTTCAGCCGTTCAAGCATCTTAGATATTTACCAACGGTTGACTATCTCTATAACAGAATCCTATCTCTATAACAGAATAGCGGAAAACTCTATATAACGGAATGGAATGGAATTTTAGTCCCGGCCAACGCTAAGCTATATAAAAATGCACTCTATATAACGGAAAAATTTTTTGATTCCTTCTATTCCGTTATAAAGAGAGTCGACTATATATATAAAAGAATAGTGTCTGTCTGTCCGTCTCTTTGTCGGTCTGTCTTTCCGTCTGTCTGTCCGTCTGTCTTTCCGTCTGTCCATCCGTCTGTCTGTTCGTCTCTCTGTACGCGCGAGTGGGCCGATTTCCAAGTTTTTTAGTTGGTTAGGCTTAGAATTCTATGTAGTTGTGCATCTAATATTTTGTTTTTTAAAAAGCAAAAGTCATGACACAGCTGGGAGTCGAACCCGGCTCAACAAAGCGACAGTGAGATTTCTGAGAGAAATAGCTCGAGCCCAGATTTCGCTAGATCTACCAAAATTTACTAGTTTCACCTAAAAATTCGCAATCCTGAGGGAAAAGCTTCTTTCGAATTTCAAATTTTTGCTAGTTCTTTGTTTTTTTCCGGAAAATAGATTCAATTTTGCTTTTTCACATATGGAAATTATTTCGATTCCATAATTTCGACTGGATTTTAGGTTGGTCGATAAGTCTTTACACACTTTTTTTTTCTACATAAATGACAAATGACACCATTGCCTTTGAATAGAAAATGTTTCTTATTTATTTTTCGATCTTTTCAGGGCAATTTCGGTCCTTTTTCAAGCAAATTCGAGTGTAAAAACGAGGGTTTTTCGTGAAATTCGTGAAATTCGTGAAATTCGTTTGCCTACAAAGAAATGAGAAGAGATTATTCTGAAAATTCGGCTATATACTAAACATTCTGCGCTCTATTTTTTATCTATTAACATAAAGATAGGTTTCTGTGGACGAAAGCGTCTAAATTGCGTCTTGAAGTTGTCGCCTTGTCGCCCGACTTTGCAGTCTTATAAAAAGTCATAGACAAGACATTTTCATAAGATTTCAAAGCTTATTTTGTAGAGAAATTTTAGGCCTTTCTAATGGAGAGAATTATAAATTAATTGATGAATTTGTTGTTTATAAATAATAGTAGAAAAAGTGTTTAAAGGCTTATCCAGAAAAGTTGGATAGACGATCATTTTTTAGGATTATAAATAGTCATTTAGTCCAGTCATTTAGTCAAAATAATGTCAAAATAATCAAAATTTATATGTGCAAACGCAGAATGACATTTAGTTTCTAAAAAACAAATACCTAGCAAGAAAAATTCAAATTTGAACGAAGTTATTTGCTCAAGCTTGTGAATTTTTTGGAAACTGGTAACTTTTTTGGTAGGATTAGCAAAATCAGGCTTACCATAAAGGAGATAACGGTGATCCAGGCTTTCCCAGCTTCTCTTTTTGATCGTACACAATCCACTTTGGTGATCACCTGAAATCATTTTTGTATAGTGGAGAAATTTCAAGCAAACCTCAGCCATGCATTCCCCAAGCGATTCCCACAAAGCGCCGGCTGATGTCTCGTTTACATTGTGATGTGAGACGCCGATCTCTGTACATTTGGCCTAAATTTGAGAGATAGTTTGATTTTCTATTGATTCTATTGATTCTATTGATTCTATTGATTCTATTGATTCTATTGATTCTATTGATTCTATTCATTCTATTCATTCTATTCATTCTATTCATTCTATTCATTCTATTCATTCACTTGAACACTTTTCGATGGTTGATTGAGATCACTGATGATTGAATCCATCATATCACAAAGCATCTAAAAGCAAGAATTATTTCTAAAGATGAAGATTCAAAGTTAGCTATGTCAACGGTATTTAACGACTTCTTATCAATTTTATCAATTCCGTTAACCCAAATTTACAAAGGAATTTGGATGTGGCCAAACGCTTTACTCTGGTCTTTTATTACCTAGACTTCTGGCCTGCCCCACCATAAAGAAAGGAAAGCAACAGGAGGGTGTATCAAAAGGAAGCGCCCGAGCAAACTCCGGGCCAAAATACAAAAAATTCAAAAAATAAAAACATTCCAAAAAAAAAACAAAAGAAAAGAAAAGGAAAAGAGGGAGCAAAAGGAAAAAGGAACAAACAGGAAAAGGGGGGACAGGAAAGGAATCAAAACTATCAATTCAAACCATAATCAACCCACCACCAACAAGCGACGATAAACGGGGGAGACCCGCGGGAAAACCTCGATTTCGCATTGAGCACGAATGGTTAAAAAAAAAAAAAGGCGACTTGAAGCAAAGCCCCAAAAAACAAAAAACCAGAAAAAAAAAAACTTGGAAAAAAAGGGAAAAAGGGAAAAAGGAGGGAGAATCAGGGGGAAAACGGGGGTGGGGGTGTAAAAGGTTTTTTGTATATTGGATGTTGGAAACGGTGCTCTTTGGGGGGGCAGAGGTGGGGGGGGGGAAGGGGCGGGGGAAATGGAAAAGAAGGGAGGGGGGGGGGCCTTGGGATACTCAACGGGATACGTGTCGGTGTAGCCCATTGGTAGAGCTTTCCCCCGGTAAGCGAGAGGTCACAGGTTCGAAACCCGGCGCCGACCATATTTTAAATTCCCAGCTTCAACCCATAAAAGCCTTAGCGTGCCAGGCTAACCCTGATCTGTCAAGTTGCTCTGAAAAAACTACTATTGCAAACCTTGGCGTGCATATTCAGATCACATCTTCCATCCGATTTAAATCCTTCAACAATACTCAATTTCTGGAAAATCTCACGTGCCAGAGTTGATTTGAAACAGAGCAATCTGAGCAAAAAAAAAATAAAAATAGATAGTTTGTAGTTAAGTTTACTTGAAAATTTGCGTGAAAGTTGCGCTGTTTGGGCGAATTTTTGACCAAGTTGCTTGGAGGAGTTGAGACTGATATCTGGAAAGGATTTTAAAGGTCAAGGGAATCTGATGCAAGTTGATTTGAAGAAAATAGAATTTTAAAGAAGAGAAAAACCACACGGTGTGAGCTTGAGATGTTCCTGAATGCTCATTCCTCCGTCACCGCCTTCTCCGGTAAAATTCAAGTTCGCTCGACTCACTCTAAAATATACTTTATTATATACTATTATATACTTTATTATATACTTTATTATAGACTTTATTATAGACTTTATTATAGACTTTATTATATACTTTATTATATACTTTATTATAGACTTTACTATAAACTTTTCTTTCTTTTTATATCCAAGAAAATCCGAGCGCAAAAACTCGTTTCGCGTAAAAGTCGATAAAAGATAATATAAAGGAATTGGCTGAACAGATTGTTTTGAAAATTTAGGTATAAACCTGACTTTTCCAGCTCTTTCTTTTTTCTATTAACACGAAAATCGGTTTCTTTGGATGAAAGTATCGAGTCAAGTCATTGCCCTTTTTGACTGACCGAGTTCGTATCTCCGAACAAAAAACAAAACATTTTGGCTAGTTGATAAAACGGAACCGAATCAATGATGTCTTTTCTTTGAGTAGGGAGACCTAATAGAGCCGAATTGAATAGATGAGTCTCGAGAAATCAAAGTAGAAGTGAGCAAAACAACAATCTAGATGAAAGTTTCCTAGATGACGATCTTTTATAGAAAAATATTAGGTTTTTTTAATGAGGCAAATCTTAGGTCATTAGGTGAAACAGCTATTTAAATAGCTTTTTAAATCTAATATTAGAGTCTGGTCTTCTATTGGAGATTGGTTTTCTATTAGAATCAATACAATTACTACTCACTTTCTCGGCTCTGTCGATTTGGATGGATATTTTGAATAAGTGGAGTCTTATACAGTTGAAAGTGCTAGTTGATAAAACAGAATTGCTAATGTCTTTTCTCTGAGTAAGGGAAAAGTTTCCTAGATCTTGTATGAAAAAATATTAGGTTTTTTTAATGAGGCAAATCTTAGGAAACGAGTTTTTGCGCTCGGATTTTCTTGGATATAAAAAGAAAGAAAAGTTTATAATAAAGTCTATAATAAAGCCTATAATAAAGTCTATAATAAAGTCTATAATACTAGTGAATCGGTTATTTCTAAATAGCTTTTTAAATGAATTGTTCAAAGACTTTTCGGCCAATCTAATATTAGAGTCTGGTCTTCTATTGGAGATTCGTTTTCTATTAGAATCAATACAATCACTACTCACTTTCTCGGCTCTGTCGGCTCGATTTGGATGGATATTTTGAATAAGTGGAGTCTTATACAGTTGAAAGTGCTAGTTGTTAAAACGGAACAAAATTGATGATGTCTTTTCTCTGAGTAGGGAAAAAGTTTCCTAGATGACGATGATTTCTTCAAGCAAATTTAGGTGCCCTTCTTTTCATTCTTTTCATTCTTTTCCCCTTCTTTCTCAAACTTCCCAGGGGAATTCCCCCTTGTGATCTCATTGGGTCAACGGGCAAAACAACCATCAGTTCAAACTCAACAAACTCAACAAAAATACATCTTTGTAAAGGGTTTTTTAAGTATTTAGTCAAATATTAGTCAGTGAAACAAGCTTTTTGAGTAAAACAGTGAAACAGTGAAACAAGAAACAAGCAAACAACAAACAAGATTAAGAAAATAGCTGGGTTTTGCTTTTCAGAAAATTATTTTTTCTATTTAAGCAATACAAGAGTATTATACTCAACCAATCAACTACTGGCTTTTGAATATAATGATTTTAATGCGATTTTCTTTCCACAACGAATTCTGGCACTGCTGGACTTTGCCAGACTGAAACTAATTGGGCTGAAACTCACTTGTTTAGTGAACTGGCTAATTAAGCAGAATAGGGAACAAGAATTTCTTCAACTACTCCTTTCCATTTCCAGTTTAAAAGCATTTATTCGGCTCTGTTCAATTAAAGGATTACTTAAAAAGAAAAGAATGATCTAATTGATCTAATTTCTAATTTGAGTGATCTAATTTCAAATCTTTTATCTATATCTATCTGTTTTCAGTTTTTGCTTAAAGAATATGGAGATTTATAAAATCCTTCTCTGACATTCGGTAGTGCTTGATGAGAGAAGTGTCTAAGTCTCGATCCCCGTGTTCCCGACAAAGGCCGATAAAATGAATAGCGCTAATCGATTCGCCGATCGCGAAAATCCCCGGGTACAAATTTACAGCTGAATATCTTCTCTTTGTACCATTTACAAAGCAAAAGAGAAGTGTGTAAATGATTGGCAAGACGTTCTTTGTGTGCGCTCACAATCGCTCACTATCTGGCACACGTCCCTGATAGATAGATAGCCAAAAACCCGCCGTTTTTTTTACGGTTTTTTTTAGCACAGCCATTTTCCGCTTCTCGTTGTGGATTGCTTTTCAAAAACTCCCCTATTCTCTGATCAAAAAGCTGATAACGGATAGATATAGATGAAAGATTTGAAGCTAGGTCATCCCTTTGTTCTTAATTCATCCTGTAATTGAACAAAGTTGTTTATTCTTAACATAAGGCTAATCCAAAGACAATTTTTACCGAAGTAAACCAAGCCTGAAGCCAAGTTCTGGGCTTTCTAGGCCAGGCCGGACCAGAAGTTAAATTCTGAGCCTGCCCTCTAGTCTAGCTTGGCTTACAGATTCTAGGGCCCGGCTTGCGCATCCAAGTTGAACCAACTAATGACACGATAAAAACTTTTACATTTAGCACTTGTTAACAATAACAGTCTATTAATAATTGAAATTGATAATGATCGAACAATAATGCGTCTGTTTTATCCAAACCTTCTCTGTTGTGCGTTTCCCATGTGATCAACGCTGCCCGACAGCCTTGACCGAGTCGATCCACGGCGTTCCACCGGAATTCTGAATTTGATTGTTATTGAAAATAGTAACATGTTAAAGTTTGAATATTCCAGATTTATAAGCAAAGCAATAGACACCTTGAAAGCAATCGTAATCCACTTACCGTAAATACTGTAATAGTACCCCACTCCCATAATGACGGTGCGGAGCGTTGCATAGTCTAGCTTTGAACTAGTTTTTCTCGACACTGGTTTATGCTACAATGCGCGTTTAGATATCAAAAAATAGCCCTGAATCTCAGCTATTTTTTGATACCTAAGCGCGCATTTTTTGAAAGTACGGGCGCTTTGAAAAAGATGAAATACTAAAAATACTAAAAAACTTTTGCGACTACGCGACTGTACGAGGGGAGTGGGGTACTATTACAGTATTTACGGTATAAGCTTGAAACTGTTTCAAAAAACCGTTTGAAATTTGAAAATCTAGAGTGTAACCAAAAAAATCACTCCAATCTAAGACTTGTAAATCAAATCCCTTTCCCAATTTTCTTTTTTTTTTCCAAGTCTAAAAGCATATAAGGGTCGGTCGGTTGGCTTCTTTGCGTGACATCATTCGCTTCTTTGCTTTCTTCTTTTCCCCAAAAACTGAGCTCATTTTCTGTAACACACAGCAAGAGGGTTCCCCCCATTTCCTTGAGCGTTTTCTTGGCATCACAAAAAGAAGATCACGGATCTCTTTTTGGCTTTCCACAAAAAAGAGAGATCCCATATCCTTTTCGCGTTACTCTCAATGGAATTGGCTAGTCTTTGAGCCATATTGAAGCTAGATTTCTTCTTGATAAACACCACAATAAAACAATGATGGCATGGGGTTTGTTTTGGGAAAAAATATTTGTAAATAACAGAAATTTGTGGCAAGAGACAATGAGGAGCGTAATGCTGATGGAAATCCTCACAAAGATCGTTAAAGAAGATTCGTTTCTTTACTCGGAATCGTTTCAATTTTGAATCGCAAACATGGATAAAGTGAGCACTGGAGGATTTAGAAATTGAATGAATGAAGCGCCTAATGCTGATGGAAATACTCTGGATGCATTGTCTAAAAGTTTACGAAAGAAAATGTAGATATCTATTATATATAAAAGAGCAGTCTCTCCGTCCGTCTATACGGACTTAGACGGGTTTTTCGACTGGTATAATAATCAATTGGTTGAGAGAAAATCAACTAAACACTAAGGGGATTGATGGAGGCTGTCTTTTGATGTCTTTACGCTTTACTTCTTCGAGATAAATCATCACCCTGGGAAAGAAAGAGAAGAGGAAAAGAGGGATTCAAGTGCATATCACTCACTCACTCACTAGAAGATCTTGCAAGAACAAAATAAGGGTTAGAAGCAGTGATGTTTTGATGTTATAAGCACTTGAAGTCGAGCAATTAGAAGTAACAAAGGTAAATAGGTAAATACAAAGATGAAGACTATAAGCCTTTTTGGCTCTTTGGCTTAGGCTTAGGCTTAGGCTCAGGCTTAGGCTTAGGCTTATTAGGCTCAGGCTCAGGCTCAGGCTCAGGCTCAGGCTTAGGCTCAGGCTTAGGCTCAGGCTTAGGCTCAGGCTCAGGCTTAGGCTCAGGCTCAGGCATTTTAAATGAGTGTCACGCTTTGAAGGTCCATAAATTTGTTCAGAGCTTATACTTAGCTATTTCTGTTATTGTACGGAAGACGGGCTTTTGAATAAAACCAAATACAAATCGTTTGAACAACCCAGTCCTAGAAAATCAAAGTAAACCTAACGAACTGAAGTCGATCTGATCGAATGCTGATCGAGCATCGTCTTACTTGATTGAAAAATTCCCGTAGTCAATTTTCAGCTATCATATATTAAAAAAGTGAATTTATTTCAAAGAAATCCACACCAAAATGTGGTCAGAAATCAGTGTCTCTAGATTTGGAAGTGGAAATTCTTTTTGGGAGAATCTAAAGGAAGTGACGCTTCTCTTTCTGCCTTTTCTAGTTTCTTGAAGAATCTTTTTTGGATTTTGGATTGGTGGTCGACTGACAAAATGAAGATCAACAGCTACTTTTTGAAGAAAAGGGGGAAGAAGGAAGGACAAGATTCCTCGATTGACGGAGAATTAAGCCTCTTTCCTGAGGTCTTTCACAAAAATTTCTTCTCATCATTAACTCGGTTTATCTTAAACGAAAACTTGATGCAAGATTTGGCTTTTAACAAAATCACAACGATATAAAGTCAAAGTTTAATGCGTTTCCAGTTTATCTAACAAATTTAGTAATGATTAAATGATACTACCGTATTTTCTCTAATAGTAGTGCACCCTGATCCTCGTCTAAATTCCTCGAAATCTCGAGAACCGCTTATCAGAACCGATCCATGTGGGGTCGGAAAATGTAGCTGACGATCAGATCTAGTGGGGGATTTGAGTGTTGAGCTTCTGCAAAAGTTTGGAAACCGTAAAATCGTCACCAACTTTACTATTAGAGATGCACTACTGTTAGAGAAAATACGGCATCCATACAAGAAGCTTAGCTATGCATTCAACAAGGCACTACAAACTAAAAAAGCTTTTAACTTGTCTGCCCTCAAATCTGCCCGATTGATACGACCTATAGCTCAATAAATGGAGAATTTCAAGAGCTTTCGAATGGACTAAAGCACACTTAAAATAATAGTGCTAAAGAAAGTTACAGTGGTTGGTTGGTTGATTCGCTTCAACTACGCGCAAGTACGGTCCGTTTCAACCAATGAACAATGAACAATGACTACGAACCAATGTAATTTTCTTTAGCGCTAATACTTTAAGTGTTCTTTAGTCCATCAAAAGCTCTTGAAATTCTCTATTTTTTGAGCCATGTCAATCTACAGGCCGCAAATTATCGTCTCGCAATTTTTGAACTATATCTTGGCTGTAGCTTCGCGAATCGGTTTAATTCCTTTTTAATATGAAAATTGCGATAAGTTTCTACGGAGAATTTTGTTTTACAAATTCTCGGATGCTTTTGAGATTTTTATTAAAAGCTTAGAAGATACGCTCAAAAAAAACCCTTGGAACGCAACATTATTTCAGCTTTTTCTAGTTCATTTTCAAAATGAAATCAGTTTTCTTCCTTTTGATAAATTTAAGCTTTAAGAGTTATATTTGAATAATTCTTTAAAGGTAAGAGCTTTTGAACGGACTGAAAGATTTGAAGTCTCGATCCCCGTGTTTCCGACAAAGACCGATAAAATGAATAGTGCTAATCGATTCGCTGATCGCGAAAATCCCCGGGTTCAGATTTACAGCTGAATATCTTCTCTTTGTACCATTTACAAAGCAAAAGAGAAGTGTGTAAATGATTGGCAAGAAGTTCTTTGTGTGCGCTCACAATCGCTCACTATCTGGCACACGTCCCTGATAGATAGACACCCAAAGTCGATTTAGTCAGTTGACCTTTATCTCTGGACCGTTTTTTTTCACAGCCACTTTCAGCTTCTCGTTATTGATTGCTTTTCAAAAACTCCCCTATTCTCTGATCAAAAAGCTGATAACAGATAGATATAGATGAAAGATTTGAAGCTAGGTCATCCCTTTGTTTTTAATTCATCCTGTAATTGAACAGATTTGTCTATTCATAACATAAGACTATTCCAAAGACACTACCGAAGCAAACCAAGCCTTCTATGACGTTAAATATTGAAAGTTTTTGGATTGAATCCTTCTTAGATCATTGCTGAGACACTGGGTTACGATAGATTGATTATTGACTTCAAAAAGCTAATTTTCAGGCACTTATTGTACTTACAAAGTTAACAGCAATTGAAGAAATTGCGCAAGATTTACTACCTGCAATCGCCGACAGACAGTCGATGTTGTCTAATAGCGATCCCGGAGACACTCAACGATTGCTCCGAGTTTTTGTGCACTAAACGAGGCCCATTGAAGGACATTCGCGGAGTTGTTTGCGCCGATTTCACCTGAGATTTCGATTTTGAATTTAGTTGCAATGAGAAATTAGGCACTGTTTTCTTTCAACTGTTCACCTGTCTCATCGCTCCATCGTCGATACTTTTTCTTGGGAAATCCGATTGATTCGTCGAATGATCGTTTCCCATTTCCGACTGAAAAGGTTGAACGCGTTAATTCGAATAAATTTTTGGGAAAAGCCAAGGATTTTGTTTGCAAAGGCTGGCTTTAAGGTTTTAAACTCTAAATTAACCGATTGCTTTCAGCATGTTGTTTAAATTATTGGGTTGGTGAATTGAAAACTTTGGACTAAAATTTATTGAAAATAAAACCATAAATTCATTCGAAATAATTTCCATTATTATTGACGACTTCTGCCCATTTTACAGGTATCGAAGTGTTACCAAATAGGTATCAAATAGCCATCAAATAGGTATCAAACAGATGCCAACTGCTATCTAATCGTTACCAAATAGGTATCAAATAATTACCAAATAGTTATCGAATAGATACCAAACTGGAATCTAATAGATACCAGTAGGTATCACATAGTTATCAAATAGGTATCAAATAGTTGCCAAATAGGTATCAAATAATTGCTAAATAGGTATCATCAAATCGTTACCAGATGGCTATCCAATATTGGGTTGGTGAATTGAAAACTGCGGGACTTTGAGCTAAAATTTATTCAAAATAAAACCATCAACTCATTCCAAATAGTTTCCATTATTATTGACAACTTCTGTCCATTTTATAGGCAATTTGCGGATTCCTCTTTCGTAGTAGGATTTTGGTTTGTGTGTGAGACAAGTGTGAGACTCAAAAATGGTGGACTGGAGATGTCCCAGTTTGAGCATTTGAGCACTTTCTTCAAAAGAAACCCATTTTGGTGTCAATAGAAAAGTTGTAGAGAATCAAAAATTAGGCTTATAGCCAAATTTTCAAAAAGATACACTTAGTAGTTTCGCTTAAAAGGCAAGTTTTGTGAAAGTTTCGTAAATTTGGCATTCCTTGAAAACCAGTTTTTGAATCGTTCTGAAAATTTGGATATAAGCTTGATTTTTGATTCTCTACAACTTTTCCATTGGCACCAAAATGGGTTTCTTTTGAAGAAAGTGCTCAAACTGTCACATATGACAATAGCCCGCAGTTTTCAATTCACCAAACCCAATCGTTTATAAAGTCGAAGTTCAATGCCTTTACAGTTTATCAAACAAGCAAACAATTAAACTATTAAATTAGTAACTATTAAATGATGCTATTCATAGAAGAAGCTTAACTGTACATAGATTACTAATTATTCATTTATAAACGAAAATTTCAAGCCGGACAAGACTTTTTCGACAAAACAATATTATCAAACAATGATAAGGTTAAAAGGCCATCAAAGCTACGAGAAAGCTACAAGCTACGAGAAGCTACAAGCTACGAGAAGCTACGAGAAAAGCTACGAGTTTTAATTTTAGCATTTTAAGAAAAGCAAAGCTGTTTGAATCGAAAGAATTGTGTGGAGAAAACTCAAAATTTTTGCTAATATTTTCCCGGATGATCGTCTTGGAGACAACAAAAGAACTCTTGCTGTTAAAAGCCCCGGAAAAAGAAAAGAAAAGACGAAAGGAGCTCGTTTCTCAGCATTCAAGCAGAATAAATCACTGCCAAGGGAAAAGTTTCCGTGTTTTGATGTTTTGCAAGAGAAGCTCCCAGAAATATCTTAGCATAACTTTTGAAAAAACGACGTTTATTGTAGATTAAAATTTCTTTACACAAAGCCAGCTCAATAAGAAAAAGGGATAAAGAAAGGTTGAGGAATGTGAAGAACATTCCGGTCTTTCACATAGCTTGTACATTTCATTTTCGACATTAACATATAACTTAGCTTTATATTCTTGGATAAGCATCTCAGGGCTTATAATTGAATTGTCTTGGGGATATTATGCTAATTCAAAGAGTTCTGAGGCTCATCAAAATGTGATATGCGCTTGCCAAAGGGTTATCGGACCTTTTATACTTGCCCCGCCCCTTTTTCATTGGCAATCCAGCTTTCAGCTCAAATTTCTTGGTGTTGGGCTGTCGAATTTAAAAATTCTTGATATCATTAGATGCGCCAAGTCTTTCTCTATCTATTGGTACAAAAACTATTCAAATTGGACAGCCCAACACCAAGAAATTTGAGCTGAAAGCTGGATTGCCAATGAAAAAGGGGCGGGGCAAGTATAAAAGGACCCACAATCCTTGCAACACCTATGGCTTAAAGCTATCTATTTAAAGCCATTTTTGCTTATTCAAGAATACATTCAAGTCAGTAAAAGTTAGCGCTTATAACTTCCGAGTTTTTGACTAAATTTGAAACCGTTAAAAAAGCAAGTTGAAAGCAAAGCATTTTGGATTTCGCTATGTAGCCACAAAAATGGCCAACTTGGCCTTGGCCTTGGCGACTTGGCCAACATAGTTTTACAATAAAAATCATCAAAAACAAACCTTGGGCTCTTTCTTTTTGAATATTGAGGCGAGCATTTTTGGTTGTTCTGAAAAAAAAAACAAAGATTGCTTGTTGAGATTTGTGGAAAAGAGAGAACAGAAGAGATTTGGCGAAATGAAAAAAATCCCCAAGTCGTCAAAGCGACAATTAAAAGAAGAAATGAAAAATTTCGATAGAAAAACAGATTTCGACCCAAGTATCGTTTTGTTTGACAAAAAAGACTCTTGGGAAATCAATTTTTATGTTTCTAATTATTGGTGTTGTTGTTGAAATGATTGAGAGAAGTGTTGACGTCAAAAGTTTTCTCAACTTTTCTAGAGATGTAGCCAGAAATGGCAGCAGGTGATATTTCAAGAATTTCCCAGAATTTTCAAGAAATTTGGCTTTAAGGTGTGAACAAAATGAGGACAGGTGAAAAGAAAGAGAAAAAGAAAAAAGAATTTACTGTGTAAAAATTGATGAAAGCTTATTGATTAGCTTTAAAACTATTTACAATTTAAACAATAATATGTAAGCAGATAAAATCTACAGGGTGAAGCAGGATTATTATATTTGAAACGTCAACTTTTGTTCCAACAACTTTGTTCCAACAACTATCTCGACATACTTAAGAAAGATCTTCTTCCGTGAGCCTTGGATTTGGATTTGGATCAGGATTTGATGTTTTATGCAGGGTGATGCTTATGCTTCACAAGGCCCGAGTGGTTCAGGATCAGGCGCAGGCCCGATTTGGCCACTTTTTGGCCACCGAAAGCCCGATTTTCCCGATTTGGCCACCTCTAGTGGCCACCCTCTAGTCCCGAGCTTAATCCAATAGATTTCAGTGTTCGGAATGTTCTTAAAGCAAAAATCTACTCAAAACCGCATTCCAGCATCGATTCGCTTAAGAAATCTCTTCAAAAAGCTGATAAACTCAATTCAGCTTTTCTGAAATTCTTTCTGAAAGATTCTGAAAGGTGCGCACGTGGCTTAGTCGGTGGCACGGTTGTCTCTGGATGAGTTCAAACCCCGCCACCGCCAACAAAGTGGTCTTTTTCCTCTTGAGAATTTCTATTTGCTATTACACATATGTTTAGATCAGAAGCTGTTTAGATACCCAAGAGTCCTACATTTGGTTTTCCCTTACTTCGAAACAAACACTGCAATGAAACAGCCAGTTTTCCCCCAATCACTCCAATTTTGGTCTCATTCATTGGGCCTTGTGATTCGCCATCGAATGACACTAAATTGGGCTGATCAAATGAAAACTGCTGATTTGAATAGTTTTCGAAAATAAGCGTCTTTTAGAAAATCGATTAATAGCAGGATTCTTTATTGAAAAAATGAGAATTCTATTTACTTGATTGCTTTATTTGATTGCTTTATTTGATTGCTTTACTTCATTACTTTACTTCATTACTTTACTTCATTGCTTGTTCTTTTGTGAATTGATTTTGCTTTACGTAACTCTTAGTTTGATCAAATTATTGACGATATTCACAGTTGTTAGGCAATAAAAAGCTTGCTGAAAAAATTCGAAAATGCTTCTTCGGAAGCTTTTGAAAGATTTGCTTACAATTAGATTGAAATTTGGGAGTGAAAATTTAAATTTAAATTGTCTTTCAAAATCCCAAAGCTTTCAAGGAAGTTTGAGAATTAGAAAAATCGAGTAAAGCCTTATCAAATAGAATTTGAATCAAATAGAATCAAATCAAATAGAATTTGAAAAGTTTGAGCATCGTAGGAAACGTTGGAAAATGGAAACGTTTCCAAAAAAACAATCTCAACTCTCAAGTAAGTTCTTCACGAAAGCAAAAGCAAAAGCTTAAAGGAAAGCTTTGCTTTTCTTTAAGCTTTTGCTTAAAGCTTCTCTCTTTGCTAAACGTCACGTTTTCCGTTCTTTTTTTTCCTTCTTTCTTCTTCAAAATTCCACGCATTTGTTTCGGGGATCAAAAGAGAAAAACACAAAAAAAGAAAAGCGGAATTCGATGGTACCCAAAAATGAGATTCAAGTAGAAAAAGAAAAAAAGAAGAAGGGAAAGAAGAAGAGAAAAAATCAAAAAGATCTTTAGAATATGGGCGGGTCTCAACACTCTATACATCATTTCCTTTTACATCTCCAAATATCCTTTTTTGGGAGTGAGGTCCAGCCAAAAAAAAAAAGTTCCCTCTTTCTCTTCCCTTCCCTCCTTCTTACAACTGATTTATTGGTGGCTTTCTTTTTTCTTTTTGAGGCATTCCTTTTGAACTCACGCGGGGAAAAAGTCTCCAATAATATAGGTTTCGAGGGAGGGAATGGTGATTTGTTGAAAGGGATCCATCACCGATGTTTCGCCATAAAAACTTTAGACCTTTAGACCAGATTTAGAATCCCTTTAGATTTAGAATCTCTTTAGATTAAGAATCCCTTTAGATTAAGAATCTCTTTAGATTTAGAATCCCTTTAGATTTAGAATCCCTTTAGATTTAGGATCCCTTTAGCGTTAGAATCCCTTTAGCTTTAGGATCCCTTTAGATTTAGAATACCTTTAGATTTAGAATCCCTTTAGACCTTTAGACCAGAACATTTTCCCAAGTTTTGAGTGGAAAAATGTGAATACTTTTCCTTAAATACTTTTATTTACAGAAACTTTTAACCTACAGGGCACTAAAAGTACAAAAAGTTGTAATAAGAGATCAAAAATTTGAATCCAGTGAAATGTTGAATGCACCCGGCTAACTGGGGAAAGCCGCCGACTCAAGACAGGATTTCGGAATGGATTTACTAGGGAACGGTCAGGTAAGAACTTTTGGGACACCCTGTATACTGTATCCCGATATTTGGTAGTAAAACAAGTATCACAGTAAGTCTGGAGATATTCAACTTATTGTTAATATCTTTTGCTTAAGCCAGGAGGCCAGGGAACGGTCAGATTTCGGATTCGAACCAAAGCCATATGACTTCTGCAAGTCGGACACGGGCAACACGATCGCGTTTTTAGTTTTTGCCCAAACGCTCTAGATTTTTGTAAAAAGGCATTTGAAATTTGAGCCCCGAGTGCAAGTTTGTAACGGCTACCGTCGTACAGCAAAGAAATGACTTGGTCGTGCAGTGATAGTGTTCTCCGGTGTTGCCCCTTTTTTGGAATCCGAGCTCGATCTCCTTTGGATCAATTTTTCCGCGGTTCCTCTGGGAAGTTCAGTACCAGATGCAATCAACCACAACTTCTTTTGGAACCGCGAGGGACGAGTGTTCCTACCTCCACGTCGTTCGTCCTGGAAATCACACACTAAGTGAGCTAACAGGAAGGGGTGGGTGTGTAATTGGTTTCCTGAGAGTAATCGGCTACTTAGAATGGACCCGTTAAACTATGGTATCGAAAAAACTTTACGCCCTTCCGCAAATCCGTCCTGAAGGGCCCCGAATGTGTTCCCGAACCGGAAAAGGCGAACGATAGTAAGCCTTTTTCACTGGTTATATATAATACTCAGATTACTCTCTTTATTCTACTCAGATTACTTTCATACATATAAAGTCAAAGAAACATTGACAAAAATTTGTCTCTGAAACGGCAAAGACTGTTAAACTCACTAGATAAATGATTTTTGAGAGTTACCTGTTGATTGGCGCCACTTTCTGACGAACTCTAGAAATCAATCAGCTGTAAATATGCTAGAAATCTCTTGCAGAAATTCTGTGAAATCAAAAACTGAGCTAAAATGGGGTGAAAGACGACGAGAAGAGATTCCCCTCTTTCCGATTCTCTAAGTCAACCTCGTCCATTCAACTCGACGAATCTTGTTAGTATTGGAGCACGAGGAAGTTTCAAGCAAAGATCCAAAGATTTTCTTTTGGTTTTTCTATTTTTGGGTTTATTAGCAGTTTGTGAAAAGGAAAGTTTTTCTCGGAAATCCGGGTTTTTTCATTGTGAAAAGTTGGAATCTTGATAAATATTGGAAACATATTGGAACCATATTGGAACCGTATCTGAACCATATTGGAACCATATTGGAAACATATTGGAGCCATATTGGAACCGTATATGAAGTTTTATCATCTACAAATCCCCCAAAGCCAATTCGATTCTCTTGGGTCTTTTCTTGGGACAAATGGTCCAAACAAACTCCGCCAATAGATTCTACGACCCTGAAAACCCCGCGGTACAAATTTTTAGCACTAAATTTCATTTGGGAATCATTTACAGAACAAAAGAAAAATCAAAAAGGCTAACGAGGTGTTCTTTGTGCGGACGCGTAATCGCTCGTGACCTGACAGAGGGGGTTGGGGTAAGGTGTTTCCCTGTTGGTAGAGGTAAAGAGGAAGGAGAGGTGAGGGGATGAAGAGACCCATCCGAGCCAGCCTATCCGGCGCAGTCCACCGCGCCGGCCCCGAACCTGGCTCCAGCTCCAGCTCCCGCAGAATGCATCGGAAACGCGAGACACTTGGCGAACAAGTTTCAGCTACAGTACTGGACCATGAAATATCATATTTGAGAAATGATCGCCACTTTCGCGCGTCTGTAACTCCCTTGTCTTTGAGTTTAAACTATTAGTGTTATACATTTTCTGAAAGCTCTTTTCAAGGGCTACACAATGGTAATATTAATATTTAGAAATACGGTAAAGACAAGGGAGTTACAGACGCGCGAAAGTGCGAAAGTGCTTTTTCAAATATGATATTTCATTGTCCAGTAGTGTATACCCATTTAACGCCATCCCATGGAAGTCTTCAACAATGGTCGTTGTATAATGGATAGTATTACTGTCTAGGAAACTATCAAAAATCTTTTTGCGTGAGTTCGAATGCCTTGGCTGACTGTTGTATCTTTGCGTGTCCGTTGATATGTTCGTGTGACAGGTCCAATTGATATGCGATTAATAGAGAATAGAATAGCAGTTAAATTTATTCAAAACAGCAAAAATAGAAATTTGGAATAGAAAAAAAACTAGCCAAACAAAAACGTTGTGAGAAAGAGAATGATAATTTAGCGTCTACACAACGCTCCTTTAGACATCGCGACAAAAATACAAAAGGGCACAGTTTAGAAAGCACGGCCAAACAAATCTGTTGGAATAA